TTTTACATGAATCATAAATCAAGGAGAAATAAGTATATTGGCCACAACATAGGTTGTTTTGTAGCTTCTAGATTTCTGAAGTGTTAGGTCATTTTACCTACAAGTTAAATAGCTGTCTGCAAGAGGCCTTGGTTGGTCATAAATTGTCCTTCCAATAGTATAAAACACACCATTTATTTACAACACGTATGCTCTTCCAAGTAGATCCAACAGCTCGTAAAGAACAGAGCTCCTATGTCATCCCTACTGAGACCACTGCAATAAAGAAACATTGGAATGACTCTGTGCAATCAGATCCAGCAACAGTAGCTTTTATGGGCTCTTCCTCCCCTCCAGGAAAACCTGAGATATTAGTGCAATATTAAAGAGCTGTGATGATTTTACCCATAGTGGGATCTTAATCCTCCTATGCTCCCACTGGTTTTGGGAGTGGAGTGAGGTTAACGCTCACTGAAGAGGGTCAGAATCAGCCCTGTTAGGATGGTTTGCTTTCATAAGGGATATGATTGATTAAAAAGAAGGTTAATTGAATATTATGCAGCCGCCACAGTAGTATAAACTCCAGCCTCTGGCTTACAAACAACATTTGCTGCAGAAGGGTTATTACCTGCTAACGATTGGAGCAATGCGCCTTTTGATGCCTTTGTATTCCAGGATGGCCAAGCAGTAAAAATAGACATGCTGGTACCTGACCTTGGGTGAGCTCTTAGGAAATCCTAGCCCAGTTTAAGTAATAAATATGTTCGTACACAAGCAGAGGTGTGCCCCGATCAAACTGAATTGAAATACCCCCTAAAAGCAGCATTTGATCTAGATTAGAAACCCACTTTAAGTGTTTGAAGTAGAAAAGCAGTAGGAGCTGATCTGAGCCCCCAAAGCCTTTTGTCAACAGAAAAGCTCTGAACAATTTCCTTTTAATAATATTACTGCATTTTTTTAACATGATTTCTGTAGTTTTTGGACAGTACAGGGGGTGTGTGATATTTATCCAATGGATTTGCAGACTAACAGGATCATTAACACATTAGTCAACATCTTGTTCACTGGCTCAACCTCAGACAGTGCTGAGGGTGACTAGGTTGATGCGAGATTCACAACAGCATGGGATTCATCTCACCCTACTGGTGAAGGTATCTAATCTAAACTGGCTACATGGTGTCTCTGTGCAATGTCTTGCAGAGGAAAAGTCACTCCATCCTATGTGCCTAAACAGGAAAGGTTAATTCTATCTTGGGATATGCCAATCTTTTGACATGGATTATGAGAGAACCCTGATGATAGGGTGAGGATTTGTCCCAGACTTACCTGATTCTACCAATCGGCTCAGCAGAGATCCCGCACGGAGGAAAATGAAGATATCTCCTTCAGTAGCTTCTGCATGAAACTGCTGGTTCCTTTGCACCAGATATCATGGCTGATTCACTGGCCAACTGCTCTGCTCAACAGCTGGCTTCATTCCAAGCTCATTGCTCTGCCCATGAGGATCACCTCTGAACAGCTTCCCCACCCTCCCTTAAAGCTGTAGCACTATCTACACCAACCCACTTCTACGAAACCAAGTTGAAAATCAGTCACTTGAAACTACAAACTCTTGCTCACAACCAATCTTGATCACAACTAATGTATCTGTTGCTCACTGTATCACTGCTTCCCATTACATACATAACAGACAGATAAATTTCTTCTTTCTCCAAATCCAATATTCACCTTGTCGCTGTCATGGCCTATCACAGCTCTGCTGATCTGCCCTATTTCTGTCTCTTTTTGGACACTGATCAAGACAGTCAACAGCCATTTTACCATGAATCTTCTGGTTGCCAAATTTCTCCAGCCCTTACTTTAAACCCTTCTCCTGTGCTGTCCTTGCTGCACTGTCATCCTCAGCCTCGCAGCCTCTTTCTGTACCTCTATCCCATTGTTGACTGGAAGCTCTTCAAGGCAAGACCATTGCACATCCATGATCCATGCAGTGACTCTCACACTAGCCCCATCAGCACCTCACCAGCTGTTCCTAAGGATCACCAGAGTCCAACTGATGGTGCTGGTGTGCTGACAGACCAAGACCAACCACCATTACCAACAAAAAGCAGTAACAACCGACACAAGGAATTATGAAAAAAATTACTTTTTAATGTACAAAAGGTTTATATACAGGTTCAGCATGTTACCTCCATTCTTACGATGTAGAAAACAGCTAAAAATGTTCTTAAGATATAAATTTGACAGAACAATTCACCTACAGTACTTTTAGTAATGATGTCTTCTATACATAATATATACAGTGCTGGAATGGTTATTTTAATACTTTTTCAGTAAATGAAGGAAGACCACCACTGGAAAGTCTGAGAAATCTCAAGTCACTGGAGATTTGGTTTTGCTTTTGTATTTGATCTTTCGCTAATGAGATAGCTGTGAAGAGGGACTCAGTAGCCATCACTGCCCTATGCAGCTGCTGAAAAAAATCAGGTTAGCAGTTGAAGGACACAGAAAAGCCTGATCCATCTCAGCACAAGGGATGCCCAGTTGTACTCCAAGCATCCAGGACAACATACAATGTCCTAAAATATGTACTGCCCTCTTTTCATAAATGCAAAGGCAAGGGCAAGGCCAGTTACTGCAGGAGAATATATACAGCAGACTATAAAACAATCCCTTCAGACACAACTTTCATGGGAGACACAAACAAACAGCCAGGCACCTTGCTTTGCTTTCCTGTCCTCATGCACCCTGGACATCAGCAAGAGTCACGGAGGCCTTGAGGGGTGAATGGCAGGGGTGAGAGTGTCTTGTGTGCACCCTCTGCATTTCGCACGAGGATGGGTGAGATTGCAGGATGCAGAGCAGCACCTCCCTGCACCAGCCGTATCCAGGGCTACCTGGCAGCAGCGCTGTCCCAGCCCACCACTGCCAAGCATGGTTGCTGGTGTACTGGTATCACAAAGTTTGCCTGGAGGTAATTTCATTTTCATGCCAGCCCCTGGTGATGCTTCGAAGAGTGAGCCAGACATCAGTTTGTGCAGAAGGAAAACAGCAACACCAGAAAGCACCTCTATAGAGCTGTCCCTGTCCTGCGCAGGGGACAGAGGCAGATGCAAATGAGAACATCACACTGATATGGGGGGAGGAGGGAAGACAGGAAGGAGAAAATAAAGCTTGTCTAGTCAAACCGTGAGAACCTGGGGAGGGATGTCACGCTTTTTTCCTGCCCTTCAACATACGTGATACAAAGCATTGGATGCTACAAAAGCAGGATGAGGAGAGCTGTCTTTGTCCAGAACTTAGTCAGAAGTTAAGCAAAGCCTCCTGCCCAAGCACACGCACCCCACCACTTATACCCTTTTGTCTAATGACAGTAAAAATAAATAATGCAACAAAGATTTAATTCAGTGTCAGATAGGACGGGTTTGGAAATAGCTGATCATTATTACAAGCAGTTATATTTTGGTGGAAGATTTGGCTCTGGGAGGTCCTGCTCCTCCCACCTCTTCCCCAAGGACATTTCCAGGGGATTCTCACTGAGCAAACTACTATTTTGACTCAAATACCTATTTTGAGATTATCCAGATGTTTGCTTACACTGTAGACTGCAGGTGCAGTGCTAAATGGAACCAGGTTGGGTACGAAGAGTACATATATACTGTAGCACAAAGCACTAGTCAAACTAATGTCCCAGGCTTTCCATGGTATATGTTTTGGATACAGCAGGTCTTTTGATGCTGAACAAAGCTGTGGGACATGTTAATGTAGCACTGAGTGCATGCCAACAAGTGTCCTTGTAGGGCAGGGTGTATTAGCCAATGCTTGGCCTTGCATCAGCGTGGCCAAGTGCCTGTTGTGTGCATGGAGCCCAGGCATTGCTCTGCATGGAGTATATAACACAGACAAGCCCTGGACAGATAAACCAGCTCCCGCAATGCTGCCATAGTGCAGACCGAGCTGAAAAGATCATAAAATTCTCTCCATCACCATCGCTTTTGTACGTGAGCACCTCAACATGGAAAACCCAACAGAAAGCGAAGCCGTTGCAGAGCTGCACAGGGATATGGTAATGCATGCTTCAGAGATCTGACATTAAAGATGCATGCGGGGCCCCCGCAGAAAGTCACTGTGCTCAGAAGGCGCAAAGTTATGCATGTGTGTCAGTCTGCACACCGGAGCCTTCTTGCCACGGGGGGATTATTTCCCAGTGATTGCTGTTCCCAGGCCTCTGCTCCACTCTGCACATGAGATAAACCACGTTGTAAACACATCTGATCAAAGTGTGCATTCACCTTTTATGTGTCTCATCAATGTGTCTTTCCAATGTTTTCTCAGAAACACCACTATGTTTTTATAAATGTACATTTTATATATGCTTCTGGCAATACACTATATTTGATATTTAAAAGAAAAGAGGCCTCAGCTACTTAACAAGAAAGCATGGTAAGGCACTTTGCTGAGAAGCTGTTTGGAATCAATGCTCTTTGCAAGGTACAAAGGTATTTACGGTATAAAACAATACTGCTGGCAGAGGGCTTGTTTGGAGACGTAACTAAACCCTACTCTCATCAGAGCAGACTACATAGTATGGCTTTTATTCTGATCAAAACCACATCCTCCCATTTCTTTCTGGGGCGGGTTGAAAATGTGAGTTTTTGCAAACATAACTAACGGAAAATGGTGGCGAGTGCTATTTACAGGGCTGCCAGGGAGGGAGGGTTCCATCTCTAACCACGCTCATGCTGTCTCCTAGCTTGGTGGTGATATCGTTCAGTGCTCTGGGAAACCAAGCCAAAAAATAATACTAGAGGTGCACCCTTGTGGCGCTGAATTGCCTGGATACAGTTTACATAATTCTGTACAGAGACTTTAAAAAAGAATTATTTTGAATCACTTTAATGTATTTAATACTTATTAAAAAAAAATCTATGCTATTGAAACAGATTATTTTTGAAAAGCACGTTCGTAAAACTGCTTCACGCAGAGCCCCTTAGATAGCACTAAGGCTTTGTGCTTTACTGTTATGACATCATGTTTAGAAATTTACTCTCTTCTGCCAGCGTGGTTAGCATGGAGCTCATATCGCCTATTGCCATATTGCTTATTCCCGTGGGTATGGTGGGCAGTGTCAGAGAGTTTCGTGGAGTCGTCAGGCGAGAGGAGTTCTGGGAGAGGTTCTGCAGGATGCTGGGGCTCAGGGTTCCTGACATCAGGCTCGAATGGTCCCCATCGTCCATGATGGCATCAAAATCTATCTGGGGTGGCTCAAGACCTTGCGAGTCCACCGTACTGGACACCTGGTTCGCACCCGGGGAAGGCAGAGTGGCCGGCTTGCTGTTCAGTGCGCACTGCTGCTGTCTGACCCGGCAGTCCGTGTGATTATCGAAGCTGCTGTTCTGTTCATACATGTGGATTTGACCGTAATAGTACATCAAATTGTTTTCCCTTGTGCCATCTGTGCACTGCTGGGCTGGTGCTGGCAACACGTCGCTGGTTCTTTTATGTATGGCCTCTGCTGCCTCCTGGCCTGGACTGATGGTGTTTGTAGGGTGGGGAATTCTCATATAGCCCAGCTGCTGGACGGTGCGGAGGCCTCGGGATCTGTTGGCTGGGCTGGGCTCGGGTGGAGGATGAGGCTGGACCATGCCAGGTGCATATGCCTGTGCCACTGAGCCCATCATGCTCTGCTGAGGCTCAAAGCTTGGCTGGTTGGAGGTCATGACAGGCTGATGAAAGGCCTCCTGAGCCATGGGAAAGTTCAGGTGGGTTGCCTGAGATGAGTAGTTCTGCTGACTCGGTTCATGCATGACCTGGCCCAGCATTGTGCGCTCGCTGTTGCTGCCAACCATTAAAGAAGGGTCAGTTGCCATGTCCATTTGCTGAGGGTGAAGGTGGGGTCCAGACTTTGCTGCCATGCTACTACAAGAAGGAGCGATCTGATTTGGATTGCCACTAATTGCACTGGGGCTCAGCATCTGATGAGGTTGGTTATACCCAGTGTTCAAGCCCAGATCAGGGTTCATACCAGAGCCTAGGCTCATTGGCTGCTGCCGCAGCTGTATACAGTTTAGCCTTTGCCCGTCCATGCTCACATTTCTTTGCATAAAGCTCTGCTGTGTTACATTCATACTGTTCTCTGGCAGCTGCATCTGCTGCTGGTTGTAGTTCTGGTACTGACCAAAGTTCTGCTTCTGCTGGACCACTGCTAAGTTCCCTTGTGAAAACTGTTGCTTCGACTGATTAGACATCATATCAACTGTACCCGAGCTGACTTCATTCCACTGGACCGGCATGTTATTTTTATTCATGTCTGAGGAAGCTTCAAAACTCATGGGACACTCTGCCATCATGGGTCCCAAGTGGCTCATGCTTGGATCAGCCACAGCCATCCTGCGCTGGCCAGGCAAAGCTGGAGGGGGGGAGACATCACCAGGCAAGGTTGGAGGCTGCAGCTTCCTGCTTCCCTGGAAGCTCTGCATCTCGTTGCTGTACCCCATGGACGTGTTCTCAGCTGCTGTCCCATTGCTCTGGGATTTGATGTACTGCACCACGTCATCTGGCAGCATAATGTCATCATCTCCAACCGGCGCCTCCGCCTCCCCAGACATGGCCTCCATGGTGATGTTTTCACTGATGCTCAGTGGCCGGGGCGAGTAGGTGTGCCGGGGCAGGCTCCCGTCCGAGTGCCCATAGCTCTGGAGTCCAAAATTCCTCCTGTCCGTGGGGTGTGGAGGATGGAAGGGGTTCATGCTGTTGGTGCTGTTGAAGCGGTGAACTCGTGGGAGGGCCTGGGGGTCTCCAGCAGGTCTCCTCACTGGGTCACTTGCCCGCCTCGTGCAGTTGCCTGGCACCTCATGAGGAAACGCAGCAGCTGATGGGTAGCCATAGGTGTTACCATCGCTGCAACGCCTGGGTCCTGGTGGGAGGCGGACAGAGGGCAAGGTGGGGTCTGGTCCATCCATAAGTGATATCCTGTTCTTCAGGGTCATCCTCTCCATGTTTGGCAGGGGAGTTGGAGGAGGGCCCCCAGTGGCAGCTGCATACTTGGCTT